GGTTTGGAACAGCATGAATTTTGGCTTTAAGTATGTTCACACATTTTGAAAATACATATAAAATATAATAATTACTTTTACAGCATTTTATGATCTTCTCCACATCAGTTCCTGTCCTCTCTACCCTAATAATAATTAAAAAGTCAACATTTAAAAAAAAAAAGTGCTTTGGGACTCTGACTACCTCAAATGCTGGCTAAATGAATAAACGATTTCAATAGTACCACAAATTTACAAAAGCACATTCTGACACATCTAAGATGCAAAATCTATAATGGATCCCAATGTGATAGAATGACTCATCACAGCCAGCTAACAAATTTAATACTGTGATGAGATCCTCACCGTGACCTTCTCATTGATGGAGTCCCTTTAAAATTAGTTTATCATGGCATCAGTGTCTGGGGGTCGTTAAGATCGTCCCGCACCATTGACTCTGACAGCAGCTAAATGCTACAGTGAGTATTTATGGGACACCCCCACGGTCTGCTGCAGCCAGCCAATCAGAAACGGCCACTACATTCATTGCAACACAGAGGTCAGTGAAGGCAAGAAGAACTTCTACACTTCCAGTAGAAAGCAATAGTGACTTTGAAACATCAGATTAAGCCATGCAGCGACTGATGCTTGAACCACAGGTCAGATATTTCCCATTGCCTCCAGTCGCTCAGAGTTCTCCTTTATTCTGTATCACAGAGAGTGATCAAGAGAATCTAAGCGTCTGCCCCAAGTGAACAATTTAATAGGGAAAAAAGAACCAGATACAGTAGAAGGATAGATAAATAAATACATTTCAAAGTCAAACACAGTTTCACAGGATTCAATGTGTAGACTGGGTTGGCATGTCCTCTGGGTGCCAGACTCAAAAGCTCGCTTGCTTTACTTCAAAGAAGACATTTGAATTTCTAATCTCGATTCTATCAGCAGGCCTGAGGCTCAGCGACTGGCAAGAACCTGCGTATACAGGAAAACTAGGACAGTATCATGGCAGCATTAGAGGGATTCACACCTAAAGCCCAATTAATAATTTTCATCATGACTTCAGGAGCCAAGCAGAAAATGGAGAGTCTGCGCAAGGATAATTGAGCGTTTGTGACTCAGCCGGAAAGTTTCTAATACTGCTGAAAGCATTTTGCTGTAAGGCCACAAAGATTTCTCAGACGATTCAGTCACATCTGCCACAAGATAAAGCGATATGTTGTGAAACAGTTAGAGAGGGATCTGTTTAAATGAGCAGCTGCAATGCAAAAAAAGTTCAGTTGCACTGCAGGACGTCCTGCAATAAAAGATACACCTGTTCAGGTGACATTTAGCTCCGGAAATGTCAAACATAAATGTGTGTGCTGCTTAATTTCATGTATTATGCATCGCTTTAAAAATGTGTGATTTGTGAGGAGTGTTGAGAGTCAATGTGGGGAGTTTCTAAACTTTCATAAAACTTCTCTTTCAATGCATCACTGATGCAAAAATAAAAATGAGTAAATGAATTGCCTATTCATTACGGTTTAAAAGTTTAGAGTCTGTATTAAGAAATTAATACTTTTATTCAGCACGGAAACATTAAATCAAAGGCATTTATGTTACGTTATAATGTTAAAAGATTTCTATTCCAAATAAACACTTGTTTTGAACTTTCTATTTATCAAAGAATCTTGAAAAAAAAAGGATAATGTTTTCCACAAAACTTTTAATCAGCACAGCTGTTTTCAACATTGATAATAATAAGAAATGTTTCTTGCACACCAAATCAGCATATTAAAATGATTTCTGAAGGATCATGTGACACTGAAGACAGGAGTAATGGCTGTTGAAAATTCAGCTTTGCCATCACATGAATCAATTACATTTTAAAATATTTTACTATAGAAAACAGCAATAATATTTCACAATATTACTGTCTTTACTATATTTTAAACCTCTGGCCCTCTTCGTTTAGGAGTCACACTTGCCTCCTTCACGGTCAAAAGTGACCGAAGCCTTGAAATGTAACTTCTTCTTTTTTTCAGGAAAATCAATGTAATATATTTTTGTTCAAAAATATTTTTTGATTATTATTTATGATTTTGAGGGAATTTTATGATACTATGCAATATTTATACAATTTTAATGAGCTATTTTCTCCATTAGAATTCATATTTTTTTTTTATTTATTTACTATTTTTTAATAAATGCAATATTTCACATTAAAATAGAGTGAAGGCATTTAAAATCCTTTTTTTTAAAGTGAGAATTGAGCCATCTTGAGGCATTAAAAAATAAAAACTTAATGTAATGTTGCGTAACCTCTTGTATTAGCACCCTATATATATATATATACAGAGGCTTTTGGATTCCCGTTGTTTTTAGACATAATTTCTTCATTTTTTTTAGGTTTTGCATTTAGATATACATCTAGACATTCTAAAAGACTACTTTTTGTCAAGGTTTAGATATTTTTGGTTAGATAAATATCATGTTTTACATTATGATTACAGTCAAACATTAAAATCTTGTTAGAAAGGGAAGACATAGAAAGCATTTTTGTTACTAAGTATTTGATCATTAAAAAAATTTAAGGAATGGATAGTGATAATTCAAAACACTTTATACAAACATTTTGTAATTAATTGATATTTTATTCAATGTAATTCAATAAACAACCAAGTGTCATCTCATCCCGATGAAGCTAAGATTTTTTAAATTTCAAAATATAAAATTTTTCGGTCAAAAATTACCAAAGAGGGCCAGAGGGTTAAATATAGTATATATGTATAATCTACTCTATTATGAATGCAGGCTAGTAAGCATAAGAGACTAAAAAGAAACCTATCGACCCCAGAATTTTTAATGGTAATGTAAGAATGAAAAAGTAAACAATATGAAAAAGTAAAATTCTATCTATCTATCTATCTCTCTGCTCTGCCTGTGCATGAGCTCCATCAGGCAGTCAACACAAACTCTTGTATTGATTGACAGTAGAGGCCATTGTCACTCATGTGAGGCTGTGTACACCTGTTGAGCTCCAACTCTTAAACCAATTCCTTCCTGTTCCCCATAGAGCAAGACACTTCACCCCAGAATATACGAGTCCCTGCCTGCTATCAATCAATAGAGCTGGATCTGTCAATACTACGGTAAGAAACTTCAGCTCAGTGACACGGAGTGACATTTTGGTGTTGGTAGGAGTGAAATGAGCCACGCTGAGGAGGAAAACATGCAGAATTTACCGACTTGATTTGATCAAGCAACAGTCTCAATCCTCCTAATTATGCCCTATGCTGTGGCAAAACTATTTCCATTTTATTTATTTTTAAAAGATGATTCTCATTCACACTTTTTGCTTTCTTTAGTCATGTACTTAAAGTAAGTCGCTATTAGCCTTCATGTACATAGTACGCTCTATAAGACCTCTGTAGCGGTACTTGAGAGTCATCTAGTGGCCAAATAATATAACGACAACAAACAGCTGGAAACTCGCACGAAACCCCCAGAGGAATAATCCACTCATTTATTCCAACAACGACCAAACTCGTTTAATTGTATTTCATGTGAATGGCCACCATTATTTAGCATTTTTATGAAAGAACATAGAATGCATTTTGCTGAAAGAAAAAGACTGGTTTAACTGGGTCGGATCAGCTCAAATGTGCCCATAATCCTTCTAAAACTGTCCAACAGACCAGCAAGCTAGACCACGTTTTTATTTACTTTTTTTCTTGAGTAGTACGCTCAGGAAGTTGGTCATTCATTTGTATTTTTATGTTCAGCATGGCACAGAATAAGGTAAAACATGGGCAAGCATAACATGATGTAATGTAATCAAAAGCTTTACTCAAGTTTTCCTTATGCAAAAAAAAAAAAAAAAGAGGAAAATAAAGTATTTTCACTATATAATTGTTGCATCAAAGCAACTTTTCCCAAGTTCAGATTTCCAACTTTCACTTTTCTCCTGCATCAAAACAGGAGGATCTGAAACTCGGCTTCACTGACAGCACAACAATTCAAAGCTGTTGAGTGTCTTTGAACAGTTGAAAGTGATTTACAATAGAAACACACTACTGACAAGTCTGACACGGGATATGTGAGCAACAAAACAAACGTTTTCTCAAGTTTCTTTTAAAGTCAAAACATTTATATGCAGATCCTGTTCTTGATTTTTAAATACTGAAGTTTTAACACAATACTTTTTCAATGGTTTTATTGACCTTGTACAGCTAAACCTTCCTAAGAAACATGCCTTAAATGAATCTGAGATTAGTTTAATCACCGATTACATAATTAGCCATTATATGTAAACTCCAGCTGGTCCAAAATGCAGCAGCTAGAGTTCTTACTAGAACCAGGAAGTATGACCATATTAGCCCGGTTCTGTCAACACTGCACTGGCTACCTATTAAACATCGTATAGATTTTAAAATCTTGCTTATTACTTATAAAGCCCTGAATGGTTTAGCACCTCAGTATCTGAATGAGCTCTTGTTACATTATAGTCCTCCACGTCCGCTGCATTCTCAAAACCCTGGCCATTTGATAATACCTAGAATATCAAAATCAACTACGGGCGGCAGACGGCCATGGGGACAAGACCACAGGAGCCAGTTGAGTCCTCTGCACAATGTGACATTGCTGCAGCCTGGAATTGAACTGCTGGTTTTGTCTGGTCAGAGGAGAACTGGCCCCCCGACTGAGCCTGGTTTCTGCCAAGGTTTTTTCTCCATTCTGTCACCGATGGAGTTTTGGTTCCTTGCCGCTGTCGGCTCTGGCTTGCTTAGTTGGGGACACTTCATTTCCGGCGATATCGTTGACTTGATTGCAAAGATACTATTTAAACTGAACTGAGCTGGATGATGACATCACTGAATTCAATGATGAACTGCCTTTAACTGAAAAATGAGCGTTTACTATTGTCATTTTGCATTATTGACACACTATTTTCCTAATTAATGCTGTTCAGTTGCTTTGACACAATCTGTATTGTTAAAAGCGCTATATAAATAAAAGTGACTTGACTTGACTTGACACAAAGATTACATACCAGTAACCTTATTACCTTAACTGTTGGTAGAATATTAATAAAAATTTCTAGGTAACACTTGAAAATAAGTTCCAAGTGGTTAACATTAATCCAATAGCTAGCATGGCCAAATAATGAATAATACTTTTACACCATTTATTAACTTAGGTTAATTTTTATATATACACTAATCCAAGTTTACTAAATTAACAATTACTATATTTATAAATTAACATTAAGCTAGATACAAAATGCTGTAAAAACGCCATCAATTAGTTCATGACACCTGATACAGTTGGTACAGTTAACCAACTGAACCTTATTGTGAAGTGTTAGCAGTTTATAATTTCTCAGTTTGACAGTTCAGTATTGAGCAGTACACAGTGGCGGGATAGTATGTTGTGTGTGCAGTGCTGAGACTGATGGGGATGAAGTTTAATATTCTTTATGACAACCTCAGTTATATGAAGAGTAAACTGGTGTACTCAGAACTGCAGAGTGAGTACATAAAGACAAGTTACAAAAACCCAAGATGTCCTCTTCAAAACCTCTTAACACTAGTCACTAGTTTTAACTCTGAATAAAGTTTGTAAATACTTCCTGATTCAGGAAAGGCACAAAACATTTCCAGCCTGAGTGATTAGATGTCCCATTGCATGTCCATTGAAAAGAAATATCATTCATTTCTTCACATAGCATCAACAAAATAGGAGAATATTGTGACCACTTCCTGTCAACCTAGTAGCTGTCTTAGGAGAAGTGTATCCCAGCGGAGTTGAATGCATGAAGAAGCCTACCATAAAAAACGGATGCAGAAAAGATACTTAACGAACACCCCTAAAAAAACAAAAAAAAACAATAATGAAGCAAAGTGCATCATACTTACACCATGAAATCATCTATATCCATGGAACGTGCCCTCTTGTCGCTAAACTTCGACTCTTGAAGGATGCTTTCAATTTTCTGAGCAATGTTGAAATCCTGTTGTATTTCCTGTAATACAATTTGGAAATGTATTTTAATGCAAGGGTTTCAGCAGACTTTAAGAGGGTACATTGTTTAAACCAATTTAAAAAAATTAAAGGAATAAATTAAAGGGAACGACATGTCAGCATGTTCTCTAAATGCAAACTTTTTTTTTTTTTAACATAGTGTAAAGAGAATATGTGAATAACTTTTACTCTACCTTCAACTACCTACCTAATTTTTGTATTGTTTTCCTGTGCAAACATCTAAATCTTAAATCAAGATACATTTACTTGATAAGCAAAATGGCATACAGTAAGATAACATATCTTGCTTTCTGAGGAATTGTTCAAAATAAAGCGAGTTAAAGATTAAAACAAGACAAAATATCTGCAGATGGGCTAAAAAAAATCAACTTAATTCAAAGGGAGAAAAAAGTCTTCATTCCTTATTGACAGACATTTGTTTGCGTTTTACTCAAACACTTCATTTTGTTCAATTTCTCAGAAAACAGACTTCAACTATGTTCATTTTGCATCTCAATTAAATTAAACTAGTTTAAGGCTGTACTTTACAACAAGACATAAATACTAAGGAAGACAACTTTTTTTTGCAATGTACGTGACATCTAATGCAATGACTATGAATTTAGGACTTTCTGCCTAAATTTGTGAAAGGGTGAATTAATGCTGCGTTCAAGTCCTCCTGGAACGTTCGTACTTACGAGTTGACAAGTCGTAATTACGATGTCAGGTGCGTTCAAGTCAGTTTAGTCGGCACAAGATGGCGGTGTACCTTCTTTTAATAAATTACAAGAAAATACAACATGGTCTGCATTTTTTTACTTGGATTTCAGCTGCGTAACAAGAACATGACCAATTTAAGTTTATAGAACAACTAAACTATCAATTTAATAAAAAATTTACCGTCAACTACAGCATCCATCGATTCCGCCATGTTTCTCATTGACACGCCCCCAACTCGGAAACTCGGGGCTTAAAGAAAATTTTGAGTTTCCCACTCGTAATAACGACTTTGTGGTGACGATCTATCCAACATGACTTGAACGCACCATAAGACTTCTTAAGACCCACAAAAGCCATGAATATAATGGTGTCTCAAGTCAAGTATATTTAAAGTGTCAAAGTGAAGCAGACTCACCATGTTGTGCACGGAGCAATGGATTCTGTAGTTCTTCTCCAATAACTGTTCAACCGCAGCAGACCTACATTAAAAAAAAAAAAGGTCAGTTCCATATCATGACTGGCCAGCTTCTTAAATTGATTACTATTGATCACTCAGCAAAACGCCATTTAGGGATGTCTTACTTGAAGGCAGCACTGAGTGTTTTGTTCTTTCGGACAAATGCAATTCTGACAAGACCATCCCATTCCTATAAATGTGGAAAAAACAAGACTATATTATTTTCAATAACTGCAAAGTCAGTATACACACTTTAATTAATAAGGACACTTACCTGGAAGTTGATAGGCGGTGGAGGATTTTTGGGCTCTATCCTCACCACGCTGGACTCTACTTTTGGAGGTGGTCTGAAATTATTCTTTCCCACCTTCATAAGCATAACATTTTAGTGCAAGATTTTACATATTAATTATGATAAGAATGCATTAGGGCTGCACAATTAATCAAATTTCTAATCGCAATTACAATTACGGATGCCACAATTACGTAATCGTTCAAAGCGGCAATTAATCGTTCAAAGTCCACTTATGTTATTCTGCACGCTTACGATTTTCAGTAAGTAAGATTTAAGTTTTTTTCTTTCTACATGTTATCTTAAGGGTTTTTCCATTGTTGTTAAAGTGTTTTCAGCTTGTTTATTTTCATATAAAAATACTGCATGCAGTTGCATCAAACAATGGTATAAACATCATTCAATGTAAATGGTGATAATCGTAATTAATAATCGCAATTACATTTTCAAGGGAATAATCGACAATTATGATTTTTGTCATAATCGTGCAGCCCTAGAATGCATTAAATGAATCTGAGCAGGCACCAACCTTCATGAGGTGGTCCACACGGGCTAGGAGCTGTGTGTTGATGGACAGCCTGCAGTATAGCTTGTCTCCAGGTTTAGCCACCAACCGCATGGCAAATTCCCTCTGAAACATCAGCACAGCACACCTACAGACAAAATAAATACAAAACTCAATTCAAACTGATCTAACATTTCATTATTATTTTCCATTGTAATGCAGTGGGTTTTAACTGGTTTTATAAAGTCGTAGACAGTATAATGGGGAGAAAATGAGCCACTCTTACAAATATGAACGGAAGAAATCATAATGCTCAATATGATGGCAGTATCTTTCAATTTAAAGAGTGAAACAGTAGTTTGTTTACTCTATTCTACATTCACGTTTACAGAACCAGCCTGAAAAACAGTTTCTCCAATTTCTTACCTAAAAAACGGCCTGTGAAGTAACAGCTTGAACACGAAAGGTGATGATATCTAGAAAAAAAAACTCAATGTGAATACCAGTGATTTGTTAACGCTTTACAATGAGGTTTCATTTGTTAACTACATTAACATGACAAATACTTCTAAAGTTTATCTCAGTTAGTTTCTGTTCATTTCAACATTTACAAACACGGCATATTATTAAAATCAAATCTGTTAATATTATCTATTGGACCTGAGCTAAAAAACAAAAAACAGCAACAAAAAATGAACAGTTGTTTCAATAACTAATGCTAAAAAATGTAATAAATACTGAAACAAATGTGTTGCTGAATGTTAGTTAATGCATTAACTAACATTAACTATTAAATAGGACCTCGTGAAGTGTTACCACCAGTAACTCTTAAGACAGATCTACAGCGAAAAGAAGAAACAAATCTCTGAACCAATACCTGATATGGCAAGTTAGCCACGCAGACATCAAAAAAGGGGAGCTCTGTCTTGAGGACGTCTCCTATGAGGATCTGAAGCTTGTTTTGCATTGGACTGCATTGAAAACAGATTTTTCGGTCAAACAGGTGCTGAGATCTTGACAACAGTGGCAATGAATGTGTATGAAAAACACTCACGTGCACTGGACTCGTTTTTGAAGCTCAGCAACAAGCCTGGTGTCCAACTCACATGCAACCACCTTTGAATTATAGTAAATGAAGTAATTATGTGAATAATAATAAAAAAATAAATATGCATAGCTACTGAAAATCCAACAATAAACATTTAATGTAACATTTACTTTCTTGGCTTTCTCCAGAAGTTTGACAGTCATGTTACCAGTTCCAGGACCAACTTCCAGAACCACATCTGTTGGTCGCAATGCTGCCTGCAAAGACACTTTTGTGTTAAATCAACACACAGATTATGTTGTGCTGATACAATGTGGTGACACTGACACATACAGAAAGCTGTTACCTTCTTTAGCAGAAAGATGACTTGCCAGAAATATAAAATGAAAATGACAGAAAATTTCAAAAATCCACATTACCGACCTTCTCTATGATGCCGTTGACAACCAATGGATTTTTTAAAATATGCTGACCAATACCAGTATTGAACATAATTCCTGAAACAGATCAATAAACATTGAAAGTTTAAACGTCATAAATAATGTCACAATAAACATTCTTAGTGGTCCGAAAAGCAGGCTTCATTTTCTTAGTTATAGCATACACAGTACAAAACATGAACGCAACCTACCTTGACTCTTCACCTCCTGGTGTTGTCGAGATTTTTTCTCAGCTTTAACCTTCGGCATTTTGATAAGTTATGTTTGAGATTCCAAATTGTCAAATTTACAGTACAACTGTGCTTATACGTTTACTGTATCAAAAACACGTGCAGCAACTGCTGGCTTTAGCTCCTTTGGTTTCTCTCGGCTGATCGGATGGAAATCAGTCGACAGCTCCCTCTGGCGTCGTGGAGGACACGTGGAGGAACCGGAAGTGACCTTTCAGTGCTGTTTTGCGGGTTCTTTTTCGCGGCAATCCGAACGTGATGCACAGATTGAGGAGGAATGTGACAGCTGATTTTTTTATGTTAATATAGAAGGTAATGTTTAATATTACTATATAATCTGTGTTAAAGATAAGTTTCTTATTTCGAGCTTTATCTTCCGCCGAATAAAATTGTATTTAACGTTAGAAAGCAAAATAGGTTGTCAAGTTGTTGTGTTTAGCGCCAGTTCAGTGTTTTATTTAACGTTAGCTGGACTCTAATATTTCTCTTTGATACAATTGCGACTGATGAAATCTGTTATTCGGAACATGTAACGTTATGCATCTTCTTGCTTCTGTTCTTAAGTTACAGATTCTTCATATTTGAACATCAGAGGACACAATAACAATGGCATCAGTCACTGCAGAGGACATCAAATGTGAACTGGACACTTTCAACATCGCCTTCAACAATGACACTGTAGATAAAAGTAAATGTCAAGTTTTTTTATGTTGTTTTAATTTTTGTTAATATATTATTATAAATACGAATTTAGTGAATATGTGTAAGCATCTTGTTTTTAAGCCCATAAATAATAATGTACTTGTTCTAATAAATGTATATTGTAATGTACTCATTCTAATATATTTTTAAAAATCACTTACATTGCTGGTAGATTATTTTTGCACAAATTAACACAATATATATATATATATATATGTGTGTGTGTGTGTGTGTGTGTGACCCTGGCTGTGAAAACCCAGCTCATTTTTTTTTGTGATTTACGGTTTTCTACATAAAAGCATCCTTCATAAGGTAAATAACATTCTGTGAAAATGAAACCGTGATTTAATATATCAAACGTTTATTCAGATTTAAAATCGCCAGTGCAACCATAACCTGACCTTCCAAAAATTACCTTAAAGACAGTGTGGAATAATTGGCATGGTAACCTTTTAACTTCCAGATGATATAATCAATTTAATATACTTAACTTTAATAAAGTTGTGTTATGTGTTTGTGTAGTGCAACCCCTTCTCAAAAATACGGCACGCGTGGTGGGCGAGGAGAGGTGGTTTCGTCATTTGGGGCAGTGCAGGGTCCTCGCTGGACGGGTAAAGGACAGAGCGCTGTGAGGGTTGAGATGCTAGAAGGAGGAGAGAATTCACTCATCAGCAGCTACAAATACATGTTCCAGAGACTGAGAGACGTGCGGGACGGTGAGGCCATGTTCTTGTTCTTTTCCAAATGTGCATTGTCATGTTGGATGTGGATTCTTCCACAATTACTGCAACAGTTCTACCTGCATGGCGGGATGTAGATTTGTGTTTGTGTTGCATGAAACATACAGATTGTCTTTTTTGATATTTATATATGTTCTCTATGTTGTCTATAGTTTTGACCGAAAAGATTGAAGAACTCGGAGAGGAATTGCGAAGTCATTTTAACATAGAGGAATTCTCTCCAGTTTCATTACCTGTTCAGGTACAAGCACAGACATTATCGTGGACATTATAAAGAAAAGAGGCTAAATAATTCTATTTTTGAAGTGATAAAAAGGAAAATATCTGTCTGCAAAAGTTCATTCTGCAGTCTGTGGGTATCCATTTTAACTAGATGTGATCTAATTTTTTTACTCTCTCTCTCTCTTGTAGGATAGCATCACAGTGCTGGGGCAAGTGTGTTGTGACAGTAACGGGAAGCTCAATACCCAATCTGTGCTGCTGGAGGCCGGACAGGAACAGGGGGGCAGACAGGTGCCTGTGGATCTGTCTGAGCTCAAAGAGTTCTCACTTTTTCCTGGACAGGTGAGATACACACCTACTATTTGATGCATATTTTTTCTTTTTCTTTTATGTTTGTATTTATCTTATTACGACGTAATATTTTTATATTACATATAATTTTCAGGAACCAGAATTATTAGTAATTCACTTAAAATTCTGATTATTATGTATCAGGGGATGTATTTTCCCCCCATCTTTAATAATTATGCAATGTGTTTGGCATATATTATTATCTATATTAGCAACATTCTATTATTCTCTTCTGTAGGTTGTCGTGATGGAAGGTATGAATCCCTCTGGGGAGAGGTTTGTTGCTACCAAACTATACGAGGTATCTCTCGCAATTGGCACTTTTTAAATGAAACCTGTTTGGGTTAAGTTAGAATTTGGTAAATTGTAAGTTATGATATTTATTCTGTGATTTGTTTCCCCACCAGGGTATTCCCCTGCCTTTTTACTGTCCTTCCGAAGGGAAACAAGAAATGGATGAGGGTAAGATTGGTGAAAATGTATTAAGAACTTCCCTGTTGAGATCAATGCTCATATTAAACCCTTCATGACACAAATTCTCAGTGTCTGAGCCTGTGATGGTCATGATGGCTTGTGGACCGTACACCCCCTCTGAAAGTCTGACCTATGACCCTCTGATTGACCTCATTACTATCATCAATAAAGATCGTCCTGACATGTGCATTCTGGTAGGTATATTTATCTCTCTATCATAAGAGTATGACTGCTTTTAGGGACATTTTAATACAACTTATTTAAATCTGAAATTTTTGACTAGTAATTAACTATTTATTTCTCTTATAGTTTGGGCCTTTTGTTGATTCCAAACATGAGCAGATTGAGGTAAACCAGGTTTTGTGTGTTTTTGAAATTCTTGTATTAACATTTTTCATCATGGCCACAAATGTAACCATTTGATGCTCAACCATTTCAACAGAAAAACCAGGTAACAGAAACATTTGAAAACATCTTCAAGAGATGTGTGGACAGCATAGTAGAAGGAACCAAAGGGTGTGTATATCAATTTTTTCTTTGTGTCTTTTGGAAGTGCTCACAATGTACAACTGTTTTCATTGCATGCATTCTTTTATTATAGGTCGGGATGCAGGTTAGTGTTTGTGCCGTCTCAGAGGGATGTCCATCATCATTACATTTATCCTCAGCCACCCTTCAACCTGAGCAACCTCAGCAAAGATGATTCAGCGGTGAGATGATTAGCTAAATGCTTTGAATCTAATTGGCCGTCTTCTTTATTTTTAAGTGCTGGTGATTAATATCATGAACTTATCTTTGTGTTATTCAGGGCAAACGTAATTAGAAAGACATGGCTTTATTTAATGTCTTAATGCTTAAACTGAATAATTAAATCATTTCTGTCTACTCTTGTTGTTCAATATACATTTTCCACCCCTAGCGAGTGACCTTAGCCCCTGACCCCTGCACGCTCCTCATTGGTAATGTGACATTTGGCCTGACCTCTACAGACATTCTGTTTCATATGGGAGCTGAAGAGATCAGCAGGTAATGCTAATGAACCAGCTAGTAATTATTTCATGAAAACAACCTAAAACTGTCATGTGAATTTACATTATTTCATTAATGTTCAGTGGAATGAGTGAGCACAAGCACCGATTTACGGTATAATTATGGTTTTTGCAGTGGCACGGGCACAGAACGTTTCTCGCGGATCATGAAACACATGTTGACCCAGAGAAGGTTAGTAGAGCATATTCATTTCTCATCTTTAAAATGAAATTACCTCAGGTTTGATTAGTAATAAAATGTTGTTTGCCTGTGCTCTTCTCTGCTATTCCTGAGATTTCATTTAATTGTTCTTTTAGCTACTATCCTCTCTATCCTCCTGCGGAGGAAGTCAACATGGATTATGACAAGTTTCAGCAATTCGGCCAAATGAACCTCACACCTGATATTCTTATCGTTCCTTCTGAACTACGGTATTTCATCAAGGTAAATCACTCACATTTTCAGATACGTTGATACCATGTCAAATAAAAGGTTATATTAATTCTGACTGGAAAACTAATTTTGCATTATTTCTCAGGATGTGATTGGCTGTGTGTGTGTCAATCCTGGTCGTCTCACTAAAGGACAGGTGGGCGGGACTTACGGAAGGTTACTCATTCAGCCAAACCCTGTGCTGGTGGAGGGGAAGAGAGTGAGCCCATGTATTGCAGGACAGGTGGTGAAAATATGATACAATTTATCCTTTCTACTGCTTGAACTTTATTAAATCATGTCTGTATTTTTTTTTGTCTGTATTAAAACTTTTCACTTAAAGTGGCTGGAAAATAAAATACTTTGTAAAAGGCTGTTTTGTCCAGTTGTTGTCTAGTTACCATGTCAACAAAATCAAAACTTATCTTGCACATTCCTGGTCTTACTGTGAACGATTCATCAGCATTATTTCTCAGGATGTGATTGGCTGTGTGTGTGTCAATCCTGGCCGTCTCACTAAAGGACAGGTGGGCGGGACTTACGGAAGGTTACTCATTCAGCCAAACCCTGTGCTGGTGGAGGGGAAGAGAGTGAGCCCATGTATAGCAGGACAGGTGGTGAAAATATGATACAATTTACCTTTCCTACTGCTAGAACTTTATTAAATCACGTCTGTATTTTTTTTATGTCTGTATTAAAACTTTTCACTTAAAGTGACTGGAAAATAAAATACTTTGTAAAAGGCTGTTTTGTCCAGTTGTTTACCATGTCATCAAAATCAAAACTTTCCTTGCACATTCTTGGTGTTATTGTGAACGATTTATCAGTACGTTATTCCGAAAACTGTCATTTTCTTCCTCTTTTCTGTATCATTGACGTTACTTAGACCAGTGGTTCACAACCCTGGTCCTGGAGGCACCCCAACACTGCACTTTTGCATGTCTTAGACCACTGACTTAGACAACAGGCTAATGGATAATGTTCATCAAAAGCCAACTAGCCATTTAGGCATTCAGGTCTGGCTTGATTCTGAGTTGAATTGGCCATTTTATTTGTTGAATAACCTGTTTCGCTCAAATGCATGGCATTACAGAAGTAAAACTAGGAAATGAATGTGGTTATATATAAACTTTTATTACAGGATCAGCCTGAACTTTATTTTAAAAAGTAAATTCATTGGTGAAATCAGTTCATATATCGCACATTCAGAATGCTACTAAAACATTCTCGAATGAGCTGTTATAAAAAGCTTAAATATACATGCTTTTATACACTGAACATGGTAACAGTGAGCACATTTACAGGTGAAGTGTATACATTAATTGGAGAACTGTGTTCAAACAGATCTTTAGTTGGGTATGTTTTCTAGTCCCATTGCAATGTCCCTTAATTTAGGATCATCCCTCCAGTTGACTTTACTGGCCAGTATGATTCCCTGAAAGCAAGATTTTTATGACTAAGAGGTTCAAAATGCAGTGTTTCTAAATAAATAGACAGCAAGGTAGATTAAATTTGAATATGTACACAAGCAAACATTGAGAAACCACATACCCGCAACACATTTTGTAAAATGGTGGTGACCTTCTGGTATTTCTGTAGGACCGCTTCTGCTCTTTCCTTAGCTCTCTGTTGAACTTCTCCTTGGTTCTCCTTCATCTGTTTCAACTCATTTATCTCCTGCATTTTCTTCTTAATTTGTCCTTTTAGGTCTAGGTAAACATGAATGAGATTATTTTCTACGAAACTGCAAAATCACAGCAGAAAATGCTTCATTAAAATAGTAAGTAGGGTTGCAAAGGGGTGGAAAATTTCCAAAAATCTCTGGAATATTCCAAAAAATGCTGGAAAGTTTCCAAAATTTCTGAAATGTTTCTGAAATTTGCTGGTAATTTTCCACCTTTTTGCAACCCTAATAATAAGTACCAAGTCTTTCCTTTTGGATATCTGTGATCTGGTCCTGAAGCTCTCGTGTTTCCTGGAAAAAAAGATCAGCAATTAGTGTTATATGGCCATAAAATTGTTTACAAATTGAATTATTCATAAAATGACAATGCTCTTTCTAAAACATATAGCAGAGCAGGGAATGTCCCACCTTTAAAATTTTCATGGTCTTTTCACAGAGCTCAGTGTTCTGATGGGTCAGTTCTTTAAGTGCCCTGTATAATGAAAAATATTATTACAGTAACTGAATATCAGACTACATAGATAAGACGTATTTAAATTAGGATTCACTCACTCAGCATCTGCATCATTCTGAATCATCTTTTCAGTAATGACGTTCCAAATCTGCATTCTACACAAAAACAAAGAATCACTTTGGACACAGCTGGACATTGGATTGCAAACAAATAATTATTATTATTATTATTATTATACCACAGCATCTTTACCTGTTCAATACCAGCGTTTTGTTGAAATATGAGAGTCTTGCCTGCTCTATTTCACTTTCATACTTGGATCTACAGTTTTAAATATATGAACATCAGGTTATTTTGTAACATATTGTATATGTACAAACATACATATTCATAAATTCAAACACACTTACAGATCTGCATCACCTTCACATGACTCTTTATGTTTTCCTTAGAAACAAACACTACAATTAGCATTAAGTTAATTATTAGTGGTCAATATAAGTGTTGCTTATTCAAGCATAAATTTAAGCTTACCCATGCTGACTTTAACATTCATTTCAAAACACTGATTTTCCATTATTTCTTTCATTCTTGCGGAGAGAAAAAACAAGACATAAAAGAAACAGACTGAGTATAGTTATACTTATCTATTACATATTGTGTATATGTGACTCTGGACCACAAAACCAGTCTTAAGTCGCTGGGGTGTATTTGTAGCAATAGCCAAAAAAACATTGTATGCGTCAAAATTATTGAATTTTCTTTTATGCCAAAAATCATTAGGATATTAAGTAAAGATCATGGATTGCAAAAAAAAAAAAAAAAAAATCCTTGATACCACAGCATCTTTACCTGTTCAATACCAGCGTTTTGTTGAAATATGAGAGTCTTGCCTGCTCTATTTCACTTTCATACTTGGATCTACAGTTTTAAATATATGAACATCAGGTTATTTTGTAACATATTGTATATGTACAAACATACATATTCATAAATTCAAACACACTTACAGATCTGCATCACCTTCACATGACTCTTTATGTTTTCCTTAGAAACAAACACTACAATTAGCATTAAGTTAATTATTAGTGGTCAATATAAGTGTTGCTTATTCAAGCATAAATTTAAGCTTACCCATGCTGACTTTAACATTCATTTCAAAACACTGATTTTCCATTATTTCTTTCATTCTTGCGGAGAGAAAAAACAAGACATAAAAGAAACAGACTGAGTATAGTTATACTTATCTATTACATATTGTGTATATGTGACTCTGGACCACAAAACCAGTCTTAAGTCGCTGGGGTGTATTTGTAGCAATAGCCAAAAAAACATTGTATGCGTCAAAATTATTGAATTTTCTTTTATGCCAAAAATCATTAGGATATTAAGTAAAGATCATGTTCCATGAAAAATTGACCCTTATGGTTTTGTGGTCCAGGGTCACATATAGTGCTCTACGCATTGGTGCAAGAAGATACAAATAAAATAATGCAATAATGGAAAATCACTTTAATAAACGTGTGGGTGTCACCCCCTCAGAAGCTGATGCTGTATCAGGCACACTGTTGTTTATTTCAGCTGGATCAACATCTGAAGAGGGTTCATCATGATTACTGAGACTCATCTTTGTATATCTGTGCAGAAATAAAAACCACAAATCCTATTCAAAGTTCGGTTGAAGGTTTTAGAGACCCTAGATATAAAGCGTATATAGATTTTATTTTAGATTGATGATACAAACTAGATAACTGATAATAACAGAGGGTTAAAGCATCAATAATGGCTGTCAAATGAGCTTTGAATATGTCCAATGTTCTCGCAGCGTATAACCAATGAATTCCTTTGACTTCCCAGTTGTTTACAATAACCGTATAAGGATTTTTTTTTTTTTTTAAACTAACGTTACACCAACCATGTAAGCGTATTTAAACAACTTCCCGTTTCACTTACCGTCGCTTCTCGTTCTTTCTGTTGCTGCTTTTGTTTACTAATATTACTTTTTATTGCAAGCCTCCAAACCGCGCGACTTCAAACCAGTCTTCTTCTTCTTCTTTTTTTTCAATGGCCGTTCACTCCTTATAGGAGTATTACCGCCACCTACTGTATATCCTACGCACATGGGTGATGTACTGCGTTCAGTCTTCTTCTTCTTCTTCTTCTTCTTCTTCTTTAAATTTTATTGGCGGTTGGCAAACCAACTTAACGGTGCATTTACCGCCACCTACTGGACTGGAGTGTGGGCAGTACTTTGAGAGAAAGGAGGGCTTACTTGGAGCTGGCTGAGGCTTGCGTTTTGTGCTTTTGCATTTCCTATCCATCCGAAACTGTAATAATTACTTTTACTATGTTCTGAACAATCTTGTAAGATGGCCTTTGTGGGATGTACTTCGCTATGCCCTTGTAGATTTATCCAATATGCCAGCATGATCTTGATCCTCCTAATACGTAAAGGCATCTCTCCTGTCTCAACTTGTAACGCAGATACCGGTGATGATTTAAACGCTCTAGTACAAATCCGAAGTGCCTGTGCCTGTTCCACATCAAGTTTTTTAAGGTTTGATTCTGATGCTGACATATATGCTAGGCAACCATAATCTAACGCTGCTCTTAAAAGAGCCTGATAGATGTTAATGAGCGATGACCTGCTTGCTCCCCAGTCTTGTCCTGATAGACATCTTAAAACATTATTTACCTTTTTACATTTATTCCTAACCTTATCAATATGTTGACACCAGGTCAACTTCTCATCAAAAAACACTCCCAAGAATCTTACAACCTTAACCTGTTCAAGATCTTGCCCATACAGTTTAAGTAATACTGTTTTAGGACGTTTGGAAAAACATATAACTTGTGATTTTGAGATTGAAAGTTTAAATCCCCATTTATTTGTCCACTGTTCTACATTCCTTATTGCATTTTGCATTTTCCTTCTTAAATATTCTATATTCCGACCTCTAACCCAGAGTGCCCCATCGTCTGCATAAAGTGACTTGCCTATGTTTCCTTCAACCTGATCAAATATATCATTAATCATAATATTAAATAATACTGGACTACATACACTGCCTTGTGGGATACCATTTTCCACTGTATATCTATTTGAATATTCTGTGCCTACTTTAACTTCTATTGTTCTTCTATTCAGGAAATCTAATACCCAATTATACATCTTGCCACTTATTCCTAATTTATTAAGTTTAATAAGAAGTCCGTCCTTCCACAGCATATCGTATGCCTTTTCAATATCAATAAATACAGCAATTACATTTTCTTTATTACTTTGAGCTTTCCTAATGACTGACTCTAGGCATAGTACAGAGTGCATTGTCCCCCTTCCTTTACGAAATCCAGATTGATGTGGTGATATAAAACCATTTTTTTCAATATAATAATCTAATCTATTTGTTACCATCCTTTCCATGGTTTTCCCCAATTGTGACGTTAATGCTATGGGTCTATAGCTAGATGGATCTGACGGGTCTTTGCCAGGTTTAAGTATTGGGATTTACTTCTTTCAGTCTAAAAACCATAGACTGTAAAAAAGAAAGGTCTAAACTGCCGCCAGGACGTCTTGGCGTCACGTGACTGTCATGTGACCACGGTGATGATCCACTAAACCCCGCCCACCTGCATTAATCTAAGTATGAGCAGAAATAAAGGGCTGGCCGTCACAGGCCAGTATTAGCACAGTGTTTAGTGTGTTTCGGAGGTCAACATGGGAAAATAAGGTTATAATACAATACTACATAGCGTCTTGTTGGTAAGACTGTATGTTTATTAAGAAGCGTGGCTCTATATATTTGAAATGTAGCGTTATTTTAAAGGCAGAACCACTTGTGATGAATGTTCTTTCCATGGTTTTCCCTAATTGTGACGTTAATGCTATGGGTCTATAGCTAGATGGATCTGACGGGTCTTTGCCAGGTTTAAGTATTGGGATTTACTGCTTTCAGTCTAAAAACCATAGACCGTAAAAAAGAAAGGTCTAAACTGCCGCCAGGACGTCTTGGCGTCACGTGACTGTCATGTGACCACGGTGATGAGCCACTAAACCCCGCCCACCTGCATTAATCTAAGTATGAGCTGAAATAAAGGGCTGACCGTCACAGGCCACTATTAGCACAGTGTTTAGTGTGTTTTGGAGGTCAACATGGGAAAATAAGGTTATAATACAATACTACATAGCGTCTTGTTGGTAAGACTGTATGTTTATTGTGCTTATTAAGAAGCGTGGCTCTATATATTTGAAATGTAGCGTTATTTTAAAGGCAGAACCACTTGTGATGAATGTTAGCAGGATGAGCTATTGTATAATAAATTAATTTTGCGTTTTGCTGCAGTAATCTATTATTGATGTGTGATATCAAAGCTCATTAATTAGAAAAATTCGCATGTAACGTTACGTGTGCATGAATTGACAGCCTGTTTCAAGTTCATTCCATATGATTCAGTAATGTGACCGCTGAAAACACTTTTTCCTTTAAATTGAGTAGATTTTTTTTTTTTTCCCCCTTTCTGAGCTCACTAGCAGATATTTGTTCTTTATTTTGAACAAATTCACTTAAAACAAGACTTTGGGGGTTGGGGAAAGGGCTTAAAAATCTTAAGGTCTTAAATAAAGGTTCAAAAGTCTTAAATGTACCTTCTTAAAACCTTGTAGACAAGTCACTTGTGCACAACCGTTTTGTTTTACTGTTCTCATTAGATTTATTCATTTGCAGGTTGTGCGACCTCATGCACCTTTAATTAAATTTCCAGATCGGAAGGATATCCCTAAGCCAAATGGTCAGTAACAAGCCCATATGTTGCTGTCATTGAATTTAACTTATCCATTATTTTGGGAAATACAGTATTTTTATGTTTAATACATTAGAAGTTTTAGTCTCCACAATGCTACATCATAGAAAGTGCAGTAAAATTAAGACGACAAACAATAATTTCTTTTTAAATCATGGTAGCAAACATTAAAGCTGGCTCCCCACTACTTTGTTGGGAACACATTTTCCATGTGCTGTATTTCCAGTACAAGAGGCACTGAAGGTGCTTGCAGCCTGTCTCCCACAGATCTCCCCATCCGCACCTCCACCTACAGCATCAATATCACCTCCACCCAGACCACCGGGACCCGTCAGCCGACTGCCTGGCACCCCTGACAGCATTGATGTAGTTGGAGATCTCCCTCACAAATACCGCAGAAGAACCCTTGCTTTAGATGAAATGGACTACATCCAGGTTAGTGTTCACTTTAATTTGAAATGTCAGTAAAGAACATTTTGGATTTTTCTGAAGCTAAACAGACAAAATTATGAATGCTAACAAGATTAGTAAACAATAATGGACATGAACATGGACAAACCACTGATAATAGTTTTGTTCTTTCTTTCAGCGTGGTGGGCCAGAGTGACTGTTGTCTGGTCTGGTTCATTCAATCAGATTCTATTTGTCAAAATCAGTTGCCTGACATTTTTTTCAGTATAAGAGGAGTTCATAATATGTTATACAGCAAACCAAACTAATTAAATTACAGTTTATTGTACATACATATTTGACAGCTGTAAAGCCTGTGCTTGGTCGTTTCATTATTTAGGTGCTCTGTATTTACATTAAAATGCAGAACTCTTTGCCTTCTTATTCTTCAGTCCATCTGTTATTTAATGCCTGTTGTATTGGCTATACTGGCTAGTACCTCTAATGACCATCATGAACAGAGTTTATGAATTTCCTCTTCCATTGCATTATATGTTTTGGATTCAGAGAAAAGCACTCATCCGAGTGTCAGCATATTCTACAGGTCTAAACAAAATGGATCACTATGAGTATTGTGAAACTGAACAATTAAAATATTTACTAATTTTTGAAAGCTTGTTGCAAGTTTTTTTTTTTTTTCTTGCTTTAGCCATAACCATCTTTTTT